ACAACCGGAATTTGTAAGGCGGTGGCGGTGTCACCGAAATTAGTGAGGTGGCAATAACTTAGGGGTTTTTGGAGTGGGTTTTAGTTGGAAACAAAGGATGTGGGTATGTTGGAGAGAAGGAACGGTAAGAGGTTGAAAAAGATATTGGATTAGTGGTAACGGACGGTTGTTTTGAGGGAGGAGATGATTGTGATTTGGAAATGGATGACAATTTTAAGGGAGGAGATGATTGTGATTTATGAGATGGTGTGGAGGGCACTTAGCAAGTGGTAGTGGCAACTGGAAAAGGTGTATGTAATTGATGGCTTCGTTGGAAGAGGCGGAGGTGAGGGTTTGTGAGGGAGAAAGGAGAATAAAATAAAGAGATAATGGATACTACCAAATTTAGGCTTTTTTAAGAAAGTGGCTAGATTTCGTTGTTGTTCATAAGCATTCCATCGCTAAATTTAGTTTTTTTAGCAACAGAGTAATTCTATTGTTATTCATAAATGTCCGTTACTATTTAAATTTGCCAAAATTGTGCCATTTTCTCTTATTAGCTACGAAATGTTCTATTGCTAAATTTAGCTTTTTTAACGGTGAATGGATTATGTTGTTATATTGCGATAGAATCATGGGTTTATTGATGAAATATTTCCCCGCCAATAAGAGAAAAAATGTCGCCAAAATTAGCAATGAAAGTTACCATTCATTGCTAAATTAGTTGGTAATCCATTATTGAATTAACTACATTATTCAACGACAACAATATTCCATCGTTGAATTTAATGGTAAATTCATCGAGATTATGTCATTAGTAACCTCAAATATCTAGAAATTGATAACGAGTCATTACAAATTCGTTAATCTATTAATGATACCTACAACTTCATGTCCATCATTGATTTTTGTTGCAATTTAGATTTTTCTTTTCTTTGTAGTGATATTAGCATAATAATTTTAAGTAGTGGACTATATTTTTGTTTGTTTGATAAATTATAAAGTTCTTAAATTATTTTTATGAAGTCATAATTTGTATTCAAGAATTTATTTTGGGTAAGATTGAAAATCACACTTTGTCTCTTAAAAATTATAATAATTTTTTAATGATGATTTACTAAGAAACATTGTAAGTTTCAAAAAAATTTAGATCTTCGTTCTAAATTGTGTGAGACATGTGAACTATTTAATTAAAATTTCTAACTAAAGTATAAAGATATGTGAAATTTAAGTAACCATTCTAGTTTACGAGCTATGGGAGCACAACGACTAGTTATGTATAGAATAAATGGATTACTATATATATATATATATATATATATATATATATATAGGTTCTTATTTATTTATTTATTTGTATTATTACAAAATTAAAAATACGTAATAACCACTTTCAAGTAAGTGGTTATATTAGTTAACCCACGACATTCTATTAATGCCATGCTCTATGATCAATGAAAGAGTTACGGTAGAACTTGTTTATTATTCACAAGTTGTTTAGAGGCTCGTGGGATTGATGTGAGGGGGTAAGGATGGCTATATTTTTTGGAGCCAACTCCAAGAAAATATGAAGTGTATGGATACAAGCTTTGAAATCAAATACAATTCGAATCGGCTTTGTCAACAAATAAGAAAGCTATAGATAGTGTAACTAAGAATCTTAACGAGAGTTCGATTTTGGCGTAAGTCTGAATGCAAACAACATTTTTAACACATGTAAGTCGAACAAGAAATAATGTTTTCGATAGCGAGATAAGTGAGTAATGTGTAAGAAAATATCATTGGGGTGGAGAACAATAGTTTAAAATGACTACTAATATCAAGTAGGTTGAAGAGCAAAATGAAAAATAAACTTAAGAAGAATGATGAGAGAGTGTCCTTTTTTCATATTTTTCTATTGTTGTTGTTGTGCATTTATTTTTAAATTTATTTTTCTATTTAGAGTTTTTGTCTTATTTGAAATCTTTTTTTGTTTTGAAATCCTTTTTTTCCTGTTAAAAGTTTAATTTAATCATGTTTTTATTAGGATTTGTAAGGTTGTTTTGATTATTTTTTTCAAATTGAATTCTTTTTCCACATTGGACTAGCTAACACTAAGGCTATATAAGCCTTCTTTTATGCAGATTTTAAAAAGACATATTATCATTGATATTAAATAAAAGTTCTTAAGTTTTTCTCAATTTCTTGCATGATTTCTTGTGATATTCTTAAGGTTATGCTTCTTTTTATGTATCTTTCAATTGATATCCTAAGGTTGTGAATTGTTATTGTGATATTTATAAGTTAAGTTGTAGTAGAGTTCTAACCTTTACGTAATCAATTAAATTAGGGTTTGTTTATGGTGTTTGCTTTTTATCTATACAAACTTGGAGTCAACTTGGTATCGAGCACTTGGTGATGAAAACCAATTCTAGGTATATTAAAGTTCTAATGGCTACTCAAGTGTCCAACCAATCATCTTAAAAAAAGAAAAAAGAATAAAAGAAGTTACTCGCTAAATAAAGTGCAATTTGAGCAATTCAAGTGCAAACTTGACCCCTTAAATCCAGAACACAACATGAAAAATTCCAACAATAAAAAACGTGATCTTGAAGCTGAATTTTTTGGTAATTCTATTTCCTTTATGGATTGGATTCAACCACTAAAATATGATGAAGATTTCTTTGAGTTTGATGCATGTGAAAATTTTAATTTTATTGTGAATTTAGGCGATAAGATTCTAGTCTAAGAGTATGAAGAAGAAAAGATTCCTAATATCAATTGGAATCTTCCACCAAGTTATGATGAAGAACCTATATCTTCATTGTTTGTTACAAGTTTAAGCATGATTTTTTAATCAACCAAGATCAATTGCCATCGTTTTTGGAAGAAACATTCGGTTCATAAAATAAAAAAAGTGCTTATGTTGAAAGAATATATCGTACAAGTTGTCAAATTAGGTTCCAAGTTTTTTTTTTTTTTTTTAATGATGATTCTTTTGATCTTTCTCATTTCAATTTAATTTCCTTATGGTTTATCAAGAAGTTAATCATAGAATATTTTGTCATAAACATTTAGACCGATACGATGAATATCATTACCAAAGTTGGAAAATTTAGATTAATAGTTATAGTAAAAAATTACAATATTATTTAAAGATTAAGAGAAGTGAACGTTTTCAATTGATGCTACTATTGAACTCAAGGGTGAGTACTTTTCAAGAGAAGAAAGTTAAGACTTTGAGGACGAGTCTCCTTCAATCTAGAAAGGTTGACACGGGAGTGTCCTTATTTCAATTTTGCTATTTTGTTGTTATTATTGTTGTTGTTGTTGTTGTTGTTATGTTTTTATTAGTCAATATTTTTTTTTCAGATTTCTCGAATTCTTTTTCTTATTTAGAGTTCTTTTTTTGTTTGGATTATGTTTTTCTTGTTAAAAACCCTTCTTTTTTTTTTTTTTTTTTTTTTTGGTATTAGGACTTTAGTTTAGTAGCATCATATTAGGATTTGTAAGGTTAGTTTAATTTCTTTTTCGAAATGGATTCTTTTTTTAAATTGTATTTTTTTTTTTTTGAAGTGGGCTCACCGACACTAAGGCTATACAAGCCTCATTTTGCATGATTTTAAGAAGACAAATTATTATTGATATTGAAAAAAAGTTCTTAAGGTTTTCTCAATTTTTTGCGTGATTCCTTGTGATATTCTTAAGGTTATTATTATTATTATTATTATTATTGTTATTAGTTATGTATCTTTGGATTGATCTTTTAAGGTGATGAGTGTGATCTTTATAAGCTAAGTTGCATTGGATTTCTAAACCATGCTATAATCGGCTAAGTTATGATTTGTTTGTGTTATTTGCTTCTTGTCTTCATAAACTCTACGTCGAAGAACTCGCAGATTAGTTAGTTAGTGAGGTAATAGCTTATCAAGATGATAATCAATAGTTGATCCAATAAAATTATCAACCATACCGAGACTACGACATGATCCAAATTCTTACAAAAGGCAATCGTGGGGAATTTTTGACAATAAAAAAGCTTAACAGAGTAATTGAAAATTGAGATTAACAAAATCTATATTCTACATGTATAAAATACTTTGGTAACATCTTTGTTTCAAATAAAAACATAAAAAATGCATAACAATAACCAATTAAGAGTATTACACATATAAACGGAGCATGTATTTTTATAACATTGCATTTAGATTAAAAAATCAAATTGATTTTTTTTTAAGTGTTTTTTATATTTTCAATATCAATATATCAAAATATCTAAAAGCACTTAAAAAAAAACATTAATTTAATGTCTTTTTGGACCAAATGCATTTAAAAGATACATTCAAATTCAAATGCAATGCAAATTCATTATTAAACGCATTTTAAGAGCGCAGGCAGCAGCCATGGCAATTCATTATTAAACACATTTTAAGAACGCAGACAGCAACAAAGGTGGAACCCAACGTAGGAGATCCTCACCATCTCTTTATTTTCTCCTTCTTTAAAATTTCGCTTTCTATTAATCTTTTCATTACCTTTGGAAAAAAAAAGAAAAAAAGAAAAAAAAAAGGCACATGAGAGATGGCAAAAAATAAAATAAGAAAAGATAGTAAAGCTGCTTTGCTAATTCCTACGCAGTACGAACAGCTCCAAAGTGAGCTAGCGAGCCGCTAAGTAACTGCTGCAACGCACAGTGCTGCCAAAAAAATAGTGTCTGTTCCGTTCTCTTCTTCTTGAAAATCTAACCCTATAACCTTTACTAATAGTACTAATCTCTCTTCTCTCCCTTTTGAGTTTAGCTTTGTTTGGATAGAGCTATGAGAAGATCCCATTTCTACTTTGCTTCTATACTAGCAGTACTTTCTGTAGCATGTACTTTTCAATTCCAAGCTCATGCTGCTCCTCCAGGTTTTTCTCTTTTTTCTTTGTCTTGTCCTTATTTGACCTGTTTTAGTTAATGAGATTTGTTTATTTTCTTTGAATTTTCACTCATTTGGTTTATTAATTGTGGTTTAACTTATTTTTGGTATTTGGGTGCTTAGCGCCATTGATTAAGCACCTGTCTTCTCTTCTCAAATGGACCACCACTGTGGCATCCTCAAAAACACCCCAATCAGGTTAATTTGAATTACGTATAGTTTTATTTTATTTTTTATTTTTTTGTTGTTATTTCATGAGCGAGGTTTATCATAATTTAGTGGTTTGTTGTTTTGATGCAGATGGGAATGTTCTTCAATTTGAGGATGGATACTTAGTTGAGACTGTTGTGGAAGGAAATGCAATGGGAGTGGTTCCTTACAAAATCCGCGTTTCTGAGGATGGTGAACTATATGCTGTCGATGAAGTTAATAGCAACGTTGTTAAAATCACTCCACCATTGTCCCAATGTATGTATGTTTGTTGCTTTCCTTTCTTTTGTTGTATTTAAACTTTGTGTGAATGCTATGAAAATGTGTCAAGCGTCAAGACAACAAACATATTGTTGAAGTTATGGTTCTTTATAGTTTAATCTTCCGGGGCTTGAAAATAGTAGATAATTCATTCAATTAAGCTTAATTCAACTGTTTGCTGCAAACAAACGTAAAACAGATGTATGAATGGGCATGTTATTGTTGCCTTTCTCGAAAAGTAGAATGAGATAAAGAATTCTCATTTGTGAACTTGTTAAGAGCAATTCTGTTTACTTACTGTGCGAGCCAATATTGTGCCCTTTTGCACTCAGTGAGAGAACGGGAATTCTATCTGCAATTAACAAATGAAGACTTGGATTTGAGCTATAGATTTGGTGAATTTTCCTGTTTTCGTTTGTAATTTTATTTCTTATTCTTGCAGATAGTAGGTCAAGATTGGTGGCTGGGTCATTTCAGGGTTATACAGGACATATCGACGGAAAACCAAATGAGGCTCGTTTTAATCATCCCAAAGGTCTAACCATGGATGATAAAGGAAACATATATGTTGCTGATACGCTGAATCTTGCCATCAGAAAGATTGGAGATGCAGGTATGAAGAGTTTACACAAGATCTGAAGTGGTAAATATTAGTGTTCTTGATGGACCATTTTTTGGTTATAAAAATGATGTAATTCAACTACATATATGTGTGTTTGGCATTGCTGGTGTGGACAAATTTCGTAAAGTAGCTTCCCCAAACCATAGTTTTGGTGGATGTGTTCAGTTTTCCAACCAATCATACTGCTCTCGTTACCAATCATTTTTGGGTTCCAAAATCACGGTTTTGGGTTGAAAAGGCTTTTATGGTACTCCAACTCAATGCCATATATACTCATATGGTGTATGATTCTATGGAGTTACAATCATGTGATCAATTTTGATAATCTGTGACTAGTTATATTGGAAAAGTTGAGTGCACTAACATTTGAAAAATCTTGATTGTTAAAAGTTTGAGTGTATATGATGGAATAAAGATGTTGAGTTTGGAAATTATCTGCAGGTGTCACAACCATTGCTGGGGGGAAATCAAGCACTGCAGGTTTTAGAGATGGACCTAGTGAAGATGCCAAATTCTCAAATGATTTTGATGTGGTGTATGTTCACTCTACCTGTTCCTTGTTAGTTGTTGATAGAGGAAATGCTGCTCTTCGGCAAATCTCTCTCAACCAAGAGGATTGTGATTATCAGTCCAGTTCATTTACTATGACAGGTTTGATTCTATATTCTTTGTTATTGCCTTTCTTAAAAATGGAGCAGTGATTAAGTCATGTTGCTGCTTTATGGAATTAGCTTGCTTAAACTTCATCTGGAATACAGTCCATTTGAACCAAGCCAAGAACCATATATTGAAAAAATTTAAGTTTTGAATCTCAACTTTACCATCCTAGTCTCTGGTTTGACCTTGGCATGGAGCAGTGATTAAGTCATGTTGCTGCTTTATGGAATTAGCTTGCTTAAACTTCATCTGGAATACAGTCCATTTGAACCAAGCCAAGAACCATATATTGAAAAAATTTAAGTTTTGAATCTCAACTTTACCATCCTAGTCTCTGGTTTGACCTTGGCATGGATTAATCATTCACAGCAAATGTGTAATATGGTAGTCGATTGCAGGGTAGGTGTTTAGTTTATCATAGTGAAGAGTTATACACATCCGTCCAATAGAGTGCACAAGGAAGACAGCATTATAAAGCAACGGGCTAGCTAACAAAACAAGGTGTTGGGGGTGTTTTTTTTTGTCTTGTCTATGCCTTTGCTGCACTTTGAATTTTCTCTCCCGTGACAAAATCTTTAACTTTAGTATAACGATAATTTTCACATAATTTGCAACTCCCTAGTGCAACACCCCATAGGAAACAGATAACTAGTAAAAGATAATGAGCTATGGAACCAAAATACCGATTGGTCAATCAATGCGATTCATGTGCCTGCTGCCCTCCTATGGTATAGGATTTGGTTGCTTCATGCTGCTTGTAACTTTTTTGATCATACCATCAATGATCCCATGATCATCAACTCATGTTGAAAGATTGTGCAATGCATGTTATTCTTTTGGTAAATGTCATTTGGTCTTTTTGGATACAAGTCATCTCCCAGGCATGTGCTAAGATCCTAGAAATGTGAAAGAATGGATTGATTCAGAAACTGAAAAAATGATTGCATTTGGTTTCAACATTAGATCTCTAAGTCTCATGCCCATCGCCTTAGGCCCCAAGCATCTCTTCCTCTCCCAAACCAACCAACCAAAAATTCTTTATTTTCTTATGGTACGCATTTTATTTTGTTGTAACGTTACTTGAGGTTAATGGAATTAAACATTGTTTTACATTATTTGGATTTTGAAGTTCATTTGGGACTATCCCTTACTGACTGATGCACTTCGTGGATCTTTTGGAAGATGTGCTTATGGTCTTTGGTGCTGTCTTGATTGGATATACTACGTCCATGCTTCAGCAGGGGTTTGGGCGTTCTTTCTTCTCAAGAACGGTATGAATCTTTGTTGAATTTCTTATGATTTGTCTGATTTCCTCAAAATGGTTAAACTGGAAAATTTAAATGCATACTTATTTCATCCTCACTATTCTTTCCAAGATATCATTTTCCTTACTTCTTTTCAGTAACTATCAGTTCGCTTTTCCATTAAGAAGCAAATTTAATTTTTACTGTAATTCTGACATGGCAGCAATCTTGAGTGAAGCTCGGACACTGCTTGAGAATGTATAGCATCTTTTTTGGCTGTGGTTTTCTGATTCTGTCTGTTGAACTGTAGATTGTACTGAATTGGCTTTGTTGCCATTTTCTGTTGCATTAATATAGTTTTAGAAGTTGTTTTTGTTTGTCAGGGAAGGTTAGAACATATACTAGATTAGCACTCCAAAGAGACTTGTGTTTTCACTTGCTTCATAGTGTTTTCTTTTTGGATTCTTCTTATACTGTTCACTAAATCCATTGCTTATAATGCAGCAACAATCTTCAGAGAGTGAATTTAAAGAGAAATCAAGTAAGGAGAAACCCATTCCTATTGTGGAGAAAGAGGAGCCCAAGTGGCCATCTTTTGGACAGCTTTTAATTGATCTGTCTAAGCTTGCTCTTGAAGCATTGGTTGGTATACTCCTCTGTTTCCTTCCTTCTTGGAACAGACTTGGTGGAGCCAGAAAAGGCCTCACCCCTTTAAAAGATTCTTTAATAATGCCAGACGATGAAGTTCAGCCTCCATCAGTTCAAAGGCAGAGTACTCCTGCCCCTGTATCTGAAAGTCGCCAGGTCCATACTCCAACTACAAGTGATAAATACTCGGAAATGAAACCACCAAAGACCAAGTCTTCCAGTTTTAAGGATCCTTCTTCGTTAAGCAAGCATCGGTCTGCAAAACGTCAAGAATATGCAGAATTCTATGGATCAGGTGAGGTTCCTTCTCATCTCAGGTCAAAGAGCCACAAAGAAAAATCAAGGCATCGTCAACGAGATAAAAGTGGAGAGGTCGTTTTTGGAGCAGTAGGGGCTGAGCCAAAACCTGTCGAGGTGAAGCCTGTGGATTACGATAGTCCAAAATTCGAGCATTACAATGTCAGAAGCAAGTATGGGTCTTATGGTTCCTACCGACTTTGATAGACTACTACTCTCAGCAGCCAACCCCTTTTGCTACCTGCCACTTTCAGCTTTGCTTGTCTTTACCTCCACCCTTTTTTGTACCCTTGTCTGTTATTAAGCTAATATCTAATTCAAGTTCAAACTTGTAAGCAAGGATTTATCTGTCAGACGCATTCATAAAGTAGGTCAGGATATTTCTTGAACTTGCTGCTGCAACACAATCGATCTGCAGAGCGTGTGTGTGCAAGGACTGTTGAGCATTCAGGAGTTGAGCTGCTGGTAGTCCAAAACTGATCATGCATTTTTCCTTCTGGAAGCATATATTTGTTAAGAAACTCGCCGTGCAAAGTTTGAGCATCTTTTGTAGACTCATTTTGCCTTTTTATGTACTCAGCTTTCTAAACCTACAGAACTTAAGTATATACATGTACTCCAGATAATTTTGATGTATTATGTTTAGAAAGTGCATTAGCTTCGCATTGGTGCAAGTCATAGACAAATTTACAAGCCAGTGCATCATGTAACAGTACATCATCATATAACAATAGGCTTCTGAACAAATGTTTGTAGACGCAGTGGTGAAAGTTGATAACTTGTTTAGTTGGATTGGAGGATTTCTGCTTGGAAACAACTTTTCAAACAACCCCATATTTTGGTTTGTCATCAACTCAAAGAAAGGTTAACCACCTTCAACCGAAAAAAAAAAAAAACTTTTTCATTCGCAACATGTGATAATACACTTCAGAGTGAATATGATCAGTTCCTTTGTTAAGTTTAATAGATTAATTATCTTGCAGAACTGAAAGTGGATTCATTAAAAATAGCAAAGATTGGAAAGTGGGGTGGATAATTGGACGGTGACACAATACAACAAGATCCATTGCTGATGTGCATCAACCTTTTTTCGCAGATATTTTAGTGGAAATCACAGCATGCATGTGATAAAGGAAAATATATCAGGCAGCGGAACCATTTTCCTGGGTCGGTCATTTCTACCTCGACGGGGCACATTGGCAGATACTTTTCACGTGTGCGATGATAGGTCGCAGCAAACGCTGATGGGTTTTGGCATCTAAAAGAGGCCACAAGTCCAATTCTTCCCGGCTGCTAAGGTGAAGTAACCAACAAATATCTTCGATCATTTAATATTATTGTTCTCATGCTTTCGCTGTATCTCTCTACTTCTTTCCAACGAAACATGTAGAAGTTTGCCTATCTCGTTTAATCTTGTGTTTGGTAATATAGCATATGTGTTTTATAAAGGTAAGTTTAAACTTTTAAGTTTTGACATCAACATATTAAAATTATTTAAAAACAGATGAAGAGGCATTAATTATTCCATTGACGCTTTTAAATATTACTTTTTACTGCCGTCCAAATATATTACCAAATACGGTGAGTGTTAATTTTACCACATAATAAAACCACTTCTCAAAAAATTTCATGTAAATAATCCAACTAAAGTATCTTTTGAATTCAATGATAGAAGTTTTATCAGTAATATAGGTTTAGTGAAAGGTATCACTGCATGTGTTTTAGATCTGTTAATCCTAATATAATTATTGAGGTTTCGGTTTTAACTTATTGCACTGATGATGATTGTAGCGTTGTACTGTATTAGCAGGATTAGCGTGCAAGAAAAGTTTTTGTAATCATATATGGGCAAAGGAGTGTTGTTTTTTTTTTTCAATGTGTATTTAATGACAATTAAACATAAAAATGAAAAATTAGGCCATGCTGACAAACCATAGTTGCTGAATCAGCGAGAAAAGAAATCCAAAAGCATGAAATACATGTTCTGATACAAGTGATTCAGTCTCCAATCCTCGTCATTAATGTATTAAGAGACTAGAGTAGCAGACTATTTAGCATTCACAGTTTTAATATTTAAGATCTTGTGACATTGCAGTTTTTGTAAAACAAAATAAAATATTAGTGAAAAAATGTATTAGATTAGCATGATTGGTTACGACTAATGAAATGCTAGTTCTTAATGATAAAGAAATGTCCTATATATGAAAACTTTTGAATTACTATCTGTATCTGTACACTCCATACATGCATTTCCCAATTGATGAAGTTCGTCAATGAGAATAAAATAATGAGTACACAAGTTACGATTAATCCCCTCTCGAAGTTGCAGTATCCAATCAAAATGTAGGTCATGTCAAAAGGGCTTGCAAGCTATTGTGTGCATTCAACTGCAACATGAAGGATTGGTTAGGTCCGAAATTTGCTACCTAGCTCGACCTTAGTAATTTGGGTTTCCAAGACGGTCGATCTATGAAGTTCTCCTCCCCCTAACTTTGTAGTGGTCTCCGTAGAGAAAGTATGATGTGAACAAACTTATCCCAAAATAAGAATTCACTGTTTTTTGTTTTTTTGTTTTTTTGTTTTTTTTTTAACATTTAGTGTGTTGTCACGGTTATTTTTCACAGGGAAACTAAATGCTTTTTTTATTAGATTTAAATATCAATAGATATATCTATTTACAAAAAATTCATTTCTCCCAATCTCTTATAGGATTCAAACTGTAAATTATATTATGAAAAATATAATCACTTACAACTCAGATTAATCTCCAAGAATATATATATATATATATATATATATATATATATATATATATATATATATATATATATATATATATATAATCTGCAAATTATATTATGAAAAATATAATCATTTAGTGTGTTGTTAGGGTTTTTTCTTTTTAGATATCTAACTTCAAATCTTAGGTTAATTATGAGAAGTAATTTTTTTAAATTTAATTTGGATAATTTTTTTTAATTGGATAAAATAGTTAGAGTTTAGTCTTGAAAATTGATCTGAAAAATTAAATGAGATAAATGTATTTATTTATTTTAGCAATTAACACTTCGCTCCCTCTTTTAAATCCGAAAACCCATAATTTTAGAATTTTAATGATGGGTCCAACCAAATTCCAAAATAGATTAATTAATAGAGTACATTTACAATTTTTACTTTATTATTATTATTATTATTATTATTTATTAGGAACGGTATAGCTATCCCAAAGGACACTTGTTAAAAGAACATTTGAGATTAATTATTATCCATTTTTATGGGGAGGAGAATCTAATGATAATTATTGTCTATTTAAAACTCCTCCTTAAAAGTTACAATTCCTAATATAGCCCTTTTATATTTCTAAAAGAATCATATTCCGTTACAAAATCTATTTAAATATGATAACATAATCCTTCATTAATTATCTAGTTAATTGTCCACCAATCTTTTAGGAATTTCACCACGTTCAATTTAATTCTCATCCTTCTATGAAATCTCTAGGTTTGTTTGTTTATTTGTTTTTTTTAATCTACAAGAAATTTGGTATTCTTCTATTCTTTACTTTTTTCTAGAGGATAGCACCTTTATTTAAAAAAAGAAGAAGATATTTGTTAATATTAAGTAATAATTTTGTTGACTTTAAGAATGTTTTTAATTAGCTCATTTATTGAAAAGGAAAGAAAAGGGAAGCAAGCAAATAAAAAAAAATGAAAAAAAAGAAAGAAAGAAAGAAGGAAGAATTTTTAGTATGCTACCACACCAAATATTCAAATTCAAATTAAAAAAAAAAAAAAAAACTTGAAGAAACCTTACATAGTATATATATAAAAGAACAAATAAGGAGAAAAGTGTTTGAAATAAAGAAAGTTCAATAACTTATATAAAGGATGATGATGATGATGATTATTATTATTATTATTTTGGAAAAGGTTTTATTAAATATATGTTCTTATTAGGGGTATATTAGACACTAAAAAAATTTAATAGCACTTGTCTGGTTAACCATGAAATGCAATCACTAAAAAAACTTAATTTTACTTGTAGAATGTGGGTTTAATGGCAAAATTGTCTTTGTCATATTATAATTTAGTGATTTTAGGCTTTTACTATCAATTTTTATTATTTGAACTCCAAAATATGAGTTTTTGAGCAAATCTTATCCAAATTGTATTTTCTTCGTTATTTATAAGTTAATAGTTAACCATTATTTTTTTTACTGTTTATTTTTTTCACTATTAATTGAAAAAAGGTAAAAAAAAAAATTTTCTTCTATTTTTCAAGAGATTTTTTTCACTGATTTATCTATAAATAAAACAAAGTTCATTAAAATTATTTTTAAACTTTTTTTTATTCTATCCGAAAAAGAGCTTTCACTTTTTAGACTTATCTTTTGAAAAACTAAAAATAAAATAAAATTAGAAAAGTTTTAAAAAATAGTTTTCTAACTCTAACAATTTTAAATATATATTATATATTTGAATCAATTGTGAAAATACAAAATCCTATAAAACACGTGAATATAAAAAAATTTAAATAAATAAAGTTATATTTAAAATTTAATAATTGAGAATAACAAGAATAAATTTATTGATATGAAAAACTTTTTTTTTTAGTTAAAATTAATTATTTGATAATTTCAATTGATCAAATTCAATCAATAAATACAAATAATAATTTGATTGATTATGAAAAAAAAAATTAATATGTTAAAATTTTGAATAAAAAGAATATCTCTTAAAAAAATGGAGGAAAAATATTAATTTTTTTTTAAAAATTAACAATGAAAAAAATTAACAGTAGGAAAAAATAACAATCAATTTAGGTTGACTATTGTAGATAATGAAAAAAAATACAATTTAAATAAAATTTATCCAAAAATAGATATTTTAAGATTCAAATTATATAAATTGATAATAAAATTTTAAGATTATCAAAATTGTAATATAACAGAGGTAATTTTTTTCATTAAACCATAGAATGTGTTAGTAAAGTTAGATTAATGAGTTTTAATACTCTTTAACAAATATTTTTGGACATTTATTACTAAAATCTTATTAGGAAATAAGCCATAAAATACTTGGCGAGAGGCGAGAGACACACGGATTTAAAAAAAAAAAAAACTGCCTAGAAATCAACCCATCCTATAATGAAACTGAAAATTCCGAAAAGCCCCTTCATCAACAGATTACCTGCAGGCAGCAAACAGAAGAACATGACGGCCAACCACCAGCTTCACTCTTAATCCCTTTTCTCTCTCTAAAATAATCTTACAATTAAGCAATCAACATCAATAATTACCCCCTTTTAATTACTTTCATAATCTTCCTCATTAGGAGTATTATTACCATTACAAACCTCACCGGAATAACCGCCCACAACTCTCACTCTCACCGCAAACTAAATGAAGTAAAAATACCAACCCCTCCACTCCGCCTAAAAAAAAAAAAAAAACATATATATAAATATAAATCCCTGTTTCTCTCTCTAGAAACCAGCAGAGACCGGAGAGAACTTCATTTTGACTTGCGTTTCAATGAAGCTTCTCTAAGAGCCCTCTCTTCCCCTCTCTGAAAGAAAATTCTCTCTTTCTTTTTCTTGAAGTGATTGCTTTGTGTTTATAAGCAAAAACAGAATGGGATGTGCTGGATCCTCACAAGCCAAAGCAGACGGTAACCTCACTCTATCATTTCTCTTTCTCTCTCTGTTTGTCTTTCTTTGTTTTTCTTCGTTTGTTTGTAGCCGAGAAACATCAAGAAAAAAAGAAAAAAGAAAAGAAAAAAGAATTAAACAATTTTTGGATTCTTGTTCTTTTATTATTACTGCTTATATTATTATTTTTAAATGGAAAAGAAAAAGGCAGAAACTCATCTTCATGATTTTGGACGTTATTTGTTGCATTAACAAGATTGTTAGTTTTCTTTTTATGTACTGCTATTACAATGCCTGCTGTGATTTCTCAATCTGTTGAAACCTTGATGATAGAGAGTGTGATTTTGTGATGGTGATTATAAGCTTCTAATGTTTCAGATTTAATTGCGAGTTTTTAGTGGTTAAATGTGAGATTTCTCAATATCAGGATTTAATTTAGGTCAAAATGGTTCTGTTTGTGAATTTGAGATTTTCTGTATTTAATTAAAAACAAATAATTTAATTTATTGATATATCTATCAAGGGCAAAACAGAAACAGAGAGTCAAAGATTTAGTTCGTTTCGAAACATAGTCAAGAACTGCACGTTCGACTGAAAGCCGTGGTTGCATTCGTTTTCTTGTAAAGAGTTTTGACATGGATCTGTATTTGATAAAATCAAATGAATAGAAATGAGTATAATTTGTTATTGATGCAACTTTTGAAGGGCTATAGATGACTGGTTCGGTCTTTTGTGTTATCTATTAATCCTGCTATCAAGAGATTTGAGACTAAGCAATGTTTTAAGCGGCATTTTAACTAGCTTCAAATTACAGTTATAGGTCAGTTTCTTCTTTTCCGCACGCGGGAATTTAGATTTGAGGTGATGGAATTACTAAACAGGTGTAGTAGTTTTATATCAACTGTAAAGTATATTGTACAAGTGATCGCTGATTGTATTCCAGCTTAGCTTCCATTTATGCAAGTATGGAACAACTTACCTTTTTTTGGTCAAAAAATATGTTTGTTTTTAATGAGGCCTAATTAGCATGTTTGGTAAGTATGTTCTGTAGGAAGATTTCATAGCTGGAATAGTGAAATCTTCGATTAATGAGTTTCTGTGCACCGCTGTTTTATGGACTTCTGTAGATTTCCGCATCAGTCTCAAACTTCTTTTGATTACCATATGTAATCCAAATGTAAAAGCATCAGCTACGCTGACCTTTTAAGTTCGTAATCCAAAAGGCTTGTATACTTGACACCTTTGTGTGTGTGCGAATGTCTGTGAGAGAGGGAGATCTTATGTTTCTATGTATTTGTTTATATGTCTGTGTACTCTTCAGTTGGCTTATAATTTCTATGTTCTAGTTTCTATGTTTTTTTTTCCTAGGCTATCGGGTGTGGGGAGTTTTGTGGGGTAGAATTCCCAGCTACTGAGGATACAGGATTAGATAGACAATTAATGGGGGAGGAGGAGAAGTGAATTTTATTTGTAGAATATTTTTTACATTGCCACTTTATGTAAAATAATGAACCTAAAGCACTCAATTTTAATCAGCAATTCTAAGGAAACCACCTTTTCTTTTCTTTATATATATATATATATATATATATATTTCAGTGTACTTTGTGGTATGATATGTCATATGCATAATACTCGTAACATGCCTTTTTTCTGTCTCTTCCTTGATTGCATTACTAAGGGGTGAGTGTTAGGTAAAGGTTGCTGCTGAGAGAGAAATATTATGAATGCTGATTAATTTTTAGGTATTCTTTATATAATCATGCTGATTAACAGAGACTAATGTCATACTTGTGATTATGACAGGGAGTGTGAAGAAAATCCGGAAGCCAAAACCTTGGAAGCATCCTCAGCCTATTACAAAGTCTCAGCTGATACAGATGCGTGATGAGTTTTGGGATACTGCTCCTCACTATGGTGGAAGGAAAGGTAGTTTTTCCTTGGAATCTTATACCATTCATGGCTTATCACTAGAATTTTCATTGACATTAACCTTGGCTGAGTAATTTATTATTATTTATAATAATTAAATTTACCTTATGAGTGAGAAGAAGATAATAAATGATCTTTTGTTGAATATGTCAAATCTTTGTCCTTTCTGTAAGTGAAAAAAAAAAAAAAAAAATCCAGAGTGACATTGAAATACAGGATAAAACTAAGTAAGAAACCCCAAGAGCAATTACATTGAGAAGTGCAGGTGTAAACCCTATAGAGGGAGAATTGGGAAGAACTTCAGAAATTGTCACCATATTACATTGAGGACTGTGATACATGTGTTCATGCATAACAGTCACTGAATGTTTAGGAATGAACATAAAGAAAACAATTGCAAACTATTCGTAATTGTGGTGCTATGTAAAATATTCAACTGAAGGGGGGTTTGTTTTGGATTCCCATATTGGTTAGTCACTAATCATTAGTGCGCATAATTCGAGCACATTATTATTCTAAAACATTACTCTGCTAATCCGAACTTATAAGTTTTGACCTGTAATGAGGTAGGGTATCATTATGTTGCAGCATCCATGAAGACAGTTCTTTTATAGATTTACAATCAATAGCCTCCTTTTTTTGGAAAAATTTAGAATTTATATCAGAGTGGAGATGCGCTTTGTAATTTTAAGGTTCCACTTTCCTTGATGACAGTTTGGCCAGTGGCATTGCTGGATATGCTCTTTGTAAATTAGGTTTCCACTTCCCTTAATGAAAGTTTTGCCATTTCCTTTGTGAGAGATCTATTCGTGCTTTCTTGTAATTTAAGAATCTTACCATTGCTTTTGCAGCCTACCACATATGCTTCTATTATTTAGACTATATTTAGTGTATGTTCAATTGCCAAAGACCTCAAAAGAGAGTAGAAATTGTCTTTGGCAATGGCCAAAAAAAGAAAAAAAAAGAAAAAAAAAGGAATTAAGCAATATGATGGTCTTGGAATAATGGATACCACAGGTAGCACTAATCAAATTTGAAATGACCATTTTTCGGATTTTTATTTAGTGTCAACCATGCCCAATTTTTGCTATAGTAAATCTTTTTATTGTTGTTGTATGTGCTTTAAGAATGCCTTGAGTATCAAGTAAAAGTTGTAAGTGAACCTGAATATGTTATAGGCTGTGTAGGATACCCCAAATATATTACTGTAGCCAACTTTGACTGGGAACTACTGCGTACTTTTGCCTCTATATCAGACACTACTCATGTTGATACAGTACATGTGACAATAGCAATCACACGTCTACCTAGCTTGTCACGTTCCAAGGCTTTATTATAGCATCATTAACTCCTAACTGAATCAGCATTTCTATCATTTCCGTGGTTAGTGAAAGTTTTTTCTTCTTTTCTGTGGAAAAAATTGGGATTTACAGGGAGGTGCCACATATGAAGATTAATTTATCACTTCAGTGGTTAGTAGATGTGTTTTTTGGTTTTTTTTTTTTTTCGTAGTCGATAAAAAAAAAAAAAAAAAAAAAAAAACAAGGGATAGAAGAGAAGTTATCACATACGAAGATCAAATTTTCATTATGCAGTCTCGCCATATATCTAGTCTCGCGAAAAGTTTTTATGACTAAAGATGAAAGGTCTTGAATCTTCTAGGACAAAAATAAGATCTGGTTGACTTCAAATTGTACAAAAAGGTATATTATATGCTTTCCAATCATTTATTACTTCTAATTCTGTGATATAGATTCTAATTTTCTGGATGCCAGAGATTTGGGATGCACTTCGAGCTGCTGCTGAAGCTGAACTGTCCCTTGCGCAAGCAATTGTGGACAGTGCTGGTGTCATTGTGCAAAATGCTGATTTGACAATATGCTATGATGAAAGAGGTACTTTATCCTTTGATCTTATTGCATAACCTTTTATGTTCAACACCAAATCTCTCTAAGAAAGTAGTGATTTTTCTGTTTGCAAAAACCATTTGTTACATTTCTGCAATAGTTTTGTAACAGTTCTGGTACCTTCCGCAAAGAGTATGATAAAGTTTTTTTATGCTGATGAAGTCGTTTTTATGTTGGTCTTTTCATGCATGGGATACACATTTGATATATTTCTTATTTTCATGTTGTCTTGATATTGTCCCCGCAGGTGCAAAATATGAACTACCGAAGTATGTTTTGAGTGAGCCAACCAATTTGATCCGAGAAACTTAACAACAGTGAACAGAGATCAATTAGCACTATTTGTGCACAGGATTGAATGTAAATCATGTATATTACCTCCTATAATGCCTTTAAAAAAGTTGGGTTCATTTTATTGCTTTACATATGCAATTAGACTTTCCTGCTCTGCTGTAAGTTCTTATGTTTAACTGACAACAGCATAACAGTTTGAATTTAGCGAAAATGTGGTTTTTTTTTAACAAAAACCTTCATAGCCAGAGGTTGGTTGCTGGGCTACTGGGCGGTGTTGTTAGGTGTTTGACCATATTATTGAGTTGAAGCTTATTCTATAATGTTCAGTTTCCTCTCAGAAATGCGTTTTTGAAGAGTTTTACGTATCTGCTTCATCTGAAGCGAAAGGCTATATATTCTAAAGCTGCAGTAGTCTTGTGAGGCACGCTAGCAAGCAGGATGCTAGAGACTGAATGAAGGAATTAGTTCACTGCATTTTCAAGAGTAGATTATGATGAATTATTCTATTGGAATTTCAGGCATTACATAAAAGCTTTAGACTTGATTACTTTTTGCCCCAAAAATAGATCATATCGATTTAATTTTGGCAAATTGCAAAGATAAGCTCTAGTTGGAAAATCTTTCTGAAGAAGTCTTGAGTGTTTTTATTTTCTTCTCTTTTATTTACTTCGACACTGTTGAGTGTTGGAAATGCTAAACAACTGGTTTGATAGCAAAAATGGTCTCCGCAGAATATTGAGTTATGGTAATTTAAATCCCATGCTATTAATTGAGGTAAGTTGAACCTCAAATTATTATTTTATAGGTAAATATTATTTTATAGGTAAATATTATCCTTCTTATGTTATTTTTAACTGTTATTGATAATTAATTGAAATATGATCTAATGACAATTTATCCTAAGCTATTAGAATTGTTATAAAATAATACCTATCCTATCAATTTGAACTATTTGAACTCTAAAACTATTAATTTTATAGCAAATTTTATCATTTTTCATTATTTTTGATAGTCCAAGTATAAACAGTTATCTGAAATGCTTTTTAAACATTTAAGATATTTTTTAATTAAAATTAATTTAAAATCTTTAACTAGATTGATCCATTTTGTTAATTAATTTTATTAATTATCTAACAACAAAAGTAAGATCCAATAGGAGGGAAAAAAATCATCTAAGCTACCTTAAAGTTAATTATTATTAAAGTTTATTTTTTTCAAAATTAATTTAATTCTCATTAAAAAAATTAATAATTCATTATCCATTACGCATCATTAATTATCCAACTACAAAATTAACAAACTTTCTTAAAACTAATTATTATTTTAAAAAAATTGAAATTAATTTTAATATATATTTTTTAAAAAAGGTCAACAAATTAACTGTAAAAAATAATAAAATTTATCCAAAAACTAACAATTTAGAATTCAAATAACCTAAATTGATATTATAGATTTTATTTTGCTACAGTCCTAATAATTTAAGAATAAATTTTACTATTAAATCCTTTATGAGTGTTATGTGCGAGCAACTTTGCTTAATGCAGACAGGCATCTTTGGTCAATCTTTCTTTGCACGAGACCACAGGTTTATGGGCGAAGTTTTGTTAAAATTGCCTTTTGCATGACGGATCTAATTGACATTCGAGCTTCCATTATGCAGTAATAATTGTCACTGAATGTTTGGAATATTTGGCAGAAGCGATTTCACGTGAGCAATTAGTAATAATAAAAATATATTGATTTCCTATAACACAACTGGGTTTAGCACAACTATTGCTTCAAGTCCCTAATCCTCCACCCCCAACGCCAAAGTAAGCAAAAAGAAAACAACAAAAGAGAGTAGAAAAGAAAGGAAGGGTATTAGATGATGTATTCACACTGGGTGGGGTTGGTTTGCTCAGACCCGCTTGAAGAATGATAAAATGTTGCCTTGTTTAGGGTCCTTGTTCCCTCCCTTCTTGTTCCCTGCTTTGCTTCCTGGATTAGATGGACCAGCGTTTCCAGTTGCTGGAGACTTCTTAGACGCAGGTGCCCTGAATGTATGGGACAAGATTAATTAATATTGCAGTTACCAGACACAAGGTAAAGTCTATCACCAAATAAGTAATGACAATTCACCACAAGAATCTAATACGAAAAGCACAACACCAAATACATGAGAGTAAAATTATAATGTAAATTATGTAATAGTTCTGACCTGTTGTTAGCAGTATTTGTAACTGCATTATTTTCCGCTCTCTTTTTCGAATCTGCTGTCTCAGCTTTCTTTGTTTGTGTCTCTTCCCCTTCCCAGACTACTTCAGTTACTGCAGCAGAGAAAAAGAAACATATTAACTAGGGAAAAAAAGAAGGGAAAGAAGAAACTAGGTTTTGTGAAACATGCTGATATGACACGTATCAATTCAAGGAATAGAAGAGAGAAGAGTCCAAGAAAGGAATTTTTTAAAGACAAAAAAGGAAGGAATGCCAAAAACAAAGATGAAGAAACGCCAGTAAGAATAACCAAAACACAAAGATTTAATGCGTAGGATACAGAGCTTTTAACCAAAAAGGAAAAAAAGGAAAAAATCAAGTCATGTCATATTTCTTGGAGGATTTTCCGGAATTTGAGAAGAACGAGCAAGGGAGTACCTTCTCTTCCACGCTCATCAATCCTTGTCTTTAACACTTTTCTCCTTTTGGGGGAATTTGGAGCAGCACCAGCAGCTGTATCCTTCTTAAAATCACTGGAGGTGATGTTGCTCTGGATCTTCTCCAAAGAGGAAGTATTAGAGTCAATGCTTTTTCCAACTGAAGAATCTTCCCTCAACAACTGATTAGATGCTCCTTTAGTTGATTTCTCTACCTCGATCACTGGTTTATCTTCTGCTTGCTTGTTGACTTGAGGTTTCTCCAAAACCAAGGTTTTACTGCTTTGGCCCTTTGGAAGTTCCGGTGATGCTAGATTGACTGCATCTTCATACTCATCATCAGAATAATCTAAAACTACCCTCCTTTTTCTACTGCTATCCCCATTAGAAGCTCGCTTAAAATTCACATCCTGAGCCTCATCACCACTGCTCCCATCTTCAATTGCTTCACAAGCAGAAATTTGAGCTTCTGCACTCACTAATAACATATAATAAACCACTTCAGAAGTTGAGAAGGAAACAGCAGATAAGAATTAAATTCAAGTGTAGAATAGGAGCTTGTCTTGCCTAAGTCAAATCAGCAAATCCTGCATCCTAGTTAAGCAGACAAAAATTCCTTTTTGCATGGAAAAACCAAATAAATACCTACCAGTAGGATTTGGAATGTGCTTATTGTTATCTGCTTCTGCACTAGATGGCTTTGACTTGGCAGATGCACGACCCCACAAATTTGCCAATGAACCACCATTTCCAGAAGAGGTTTTATCACTCTGACCTATCTTCTTATTAGCAGCCAAAAGAGAAAATTTTTCTCCATCTGCAGTCTCCTTGGCAGCCAGATCATGAACTCCTGCCCCATTGCTTTCGCTTTTGACATCTTTGACCAAATTGGGAGATTGAGGACCAACCTTTGGGCTTTGCTGAACTTTAGTTTGCTGAGAAGGTGGAACATTTTGACACACTGAATTACTTTTCAATGGCACTGGGATTTCCACACTTTTGGGCTGTGGAGCTGCATTGCTTGCAGTAGTTCCATCAACATTGTGCCTAACAAAGGAATTAAGAATCCCACAAAACCTGCAGAAAGAAAACTTCAAGCATCAAGGACAATAAGCTAATGCATGGCGCAATTGATGAGAAGGGTTTAGGGAGAGAGAAGGAAACCCTCAATCTGTAACCAACCCAAGCCTTGAGAGATCTCATTACCCCTACCAATTCCCACCCTCAATAAGAAGAACAGACTTGTGTGTGCTAATTACATTTAAAAATGAGTTCAAAGTGTATTATCAACAAAATTGACATTACCAGTCAATTTATTCTAGAACAGTTTAGGACTTAAAGTTTTGTTGCAAGAGGCAGATCAGCAGTCAGAAAATTATTGAGGACCAAAAGTTCAGGCTTTCATTTGCGGAATATTTACAAAGAAACAAGTTGTTATTATGGAAGCTGCACTATAGTAATAGCTTCATATGAATACCTTAAACGAATAATAATCATATCTATCAATTCCATGGTCTACTTGAGGCAAGTTCTTGTATGATACTGGAACTAATTGCAGACTACAGGTGCATCATACCTGTTGTCTCTTAAGCAATTGTCAACCGTGAAGGATTGCTTGAAGAGATCTTCTGCCTGCACAAATTCAGCATTCCAAAGTGCAGCTGGATCCTTTGGGATGCAAGCTTGAACACTATAGACCTGAACTGAACAATTGCCATCGAATTCTTGTTTAGCTTCTGGAAAAAAAAAAAAAAATCAGCATATCCCTGTTTCCTTATCTCCATGAAAAAAACATACAAGTATGAATGACACTAACAAACCACAAATTTATCAACCAGAAACTGATGCAACGGCATCAACCCAAAATCAAATGGCTAAGATATTGAAATATGACAGAACCAGATGAAAACAACTTTCATCACACATATTTGTGTACTACACTTTGGCGTACTTTTTCTATGCTTTTTGTTCTAAACAATAGAATTCATTGGTGAATTCCAAGTACATTTCATGGCCAATTTGAAGAAAAAGAAATATAACTGTTAAAAGTTCCATCAGGAGGAGGGAATATGGATGTGAAGGGAAAAAATAAAAAAAAAGCAACGCTAGACGTACATAAATTGCTTAGGTGAAAGCAATAACCATACTAACAAAGTCACCTAATCATTTCTATAAGGGACACATTATTGCAAACCTACGTTCAACAGCAAGCAATACCACGATAAAACCCATCTATTATAATGGACGGAAGGAAATCCTTCCGATTTCAAGAATCTCTCTTTTCTAGCCAGAAATAACAATACAATAATAATGTTAACGCGATTCAAAGATCTGACCTTCAAGTTTGGGCCCAGAAACAAGCCTTATATGGTAACTTGAAGGACTGTTCTTTAACCAACCAGATAGAGTGTACACTACTTCGACTCCACTTCCGCGCGTCTTAACAAATTCTTGAAGCAACCTTAAGAGCAAAAAAACCATCAACAATTTTTTAATTAAATCACTAAACAGGGAAAAATAAATAAAAAAATCACAAATTTTGGAAAGGAAATTTACCTTTTTGCAGCATTCGATGAAACCAAGAAATTTCGACTCAACCACTTGTACGAAACCTGAAATCAATCAATTAATTAATTCTCTTGATTTACTAAATCTGACCCATGATCACAAAGATAAAACCCAGTAAAAAATTAAGAGACTAAAGAGAATTAGAAGCTACCACTTGGAGTTTATCAGAGACGAGAACTTCAATTTCTTCGAGAATGCCTAGGGTTTCTATTTGGGACATAATTTTTTTTTTTTTTTTGGGCGTAAAGAGAAATCAGAGATTGAAGAGATTGTGCAGGTTGACGAACAGAGGGTAATTACGGAAGCTGTGAAAATATGAAATAAGGACAAGAGTGAGTTTGATTTTCCCTCTACAAGGACACTGATTTTCCCGCCATATTCAATCTCTCTCTCTCTCTACTTTTTTGGGGTCTGTGTTCTTTTTTTTTAAATGGAAGCAGGTGAATTTGGAGGATCTATCGCCTGTGTTTTTGTTGGATCCATATTTTTTATCATAGGGTACATCAGCTTGGCCCATATCACGAAAATGTTTGAATCCATATTACTTTGCTTAATGGGCCTAATGGAATGGATTGTAGATATATTTTTTCTTACTTTTCAAATAAAATCTAACAAGGTTTTGTTATTGAAATCTAAGTTTATAACCTAATTTTGTGTCATCAACTATCAATTTACCTCGAAGGGTAAACAGGAGAAAATATTTGGCATTAAATAGTCGTTGATTTGAACCAAGGGAAGTGAGCTCCCGTGCCTCAGCTCATAGACTCCTCTCACATGCTTGTCAAATGCATTAGTTCTCACAGGTAATTCGTCAGGAAAAAAAAAAAAAAATTCAAACCTAAAACTAAACTATAAGAGAAAGTGATACTCTTTTTTTCTTGGTAAGTTATTAATAAAAGTATCATATCACATAATTATGTAAATTTTTTCAATAAACTGTAATTCAATTTAATGAATTTTGTTCTTACTCTTTTGAATTTGAATTTTTAAAATCTTTTACACATGTTGAATCTTTTTGCGTTAAACACCTTTGTCTTTATAGATAAAGGCAGTGAAGAAATTGATTTGTCAATGTTTTGGCCTTCAAATTTTGGATTCATATCTTCTTATATTTCTTTTTTAAAAATGGGACCATAAAGTTCCTTAAATTAAAATCATTAAAGTCAAATTAGATAGATATGATTTAGTGCATGATAAAAATAGTAAAAACTTAACTCATTATTGTTTTATTTCTCTCATATAATTTAGATCATTAAATTCAAAATTAATAATTAAATTTGAAACATAAAAGTAATCTAAATCCTTAATTTTTTATTTCTTCATCGAAAAAATGTATTGTTAAGAATAAATAATGTTATTCTTTCATAATTATCTTAAGAATTTATTTATAAAAATAATCATTGAATTTATAAGAACTAACGGACTTCACTTAGTTAATGCATAAATTATCTATTAAATAATTGATATTTTTTCGATAATTGAATCTTATAAAACAATTATAGGAGAATAGCATTATTCATTACATTGACATCATTGAATTTATAAGAACTAACGGAATTCACTTAGTTAATGCATAAATTATCTATTAAATAATTGATATTTTTTCGATAATTGAATCTTATAAAACAATTATAGGAGAATAGCATTATTCATTACATTGACATCATTGAATTTATAAGAACTAACGGAATTCACTTAGTTAATGCATAAATTATCTATTAAATAATTGATATTTTTTCGATAATTGAATCTTATAAAACAATTATAGGAGAATAGCATTATTCATTACATTGACATCTCTTCTTGGCCCACCCATTAAAAAAAAGCATTTTCAAACCAACACTTTACGTAATTAAACAAACACACGTACGCGCGTGCGCGCGTGCACACATATATATATTATTATGAGAGTTGGGTTCTGCTAATCGGTACAAGCATTTGCTTTGATTCAAAACCATACATGCTAGTGGCTTCATATAAAAGTATGATAGTAGAAGGTACAGAAACTTCAAACTTCTGGTCAAATTTCGTTAAGCCTTTGAACAAAACTTTTACTGCCAGTAGTCATGAATAAATTATTTATAATCAATTTAAATTAAGGTTTTATTTAATAAATAGTTTTTCTATTCCAAAAAAATTGTTTCATTTGATTTTTTACATAATTTAAAAAATTATTAATTCTTATGCTATATCACTATTTTTTTATTACAAAAACTTTAAATTTTTGGTAAAATTACGTTAAGCCTTTGAATAAAAATTTTAGTGCCAATAGTCATGAATGAATTATTTATAATCAATTTAAGTTAGGGTTTCATCTAATAAATACTCTTTTTGTCTAAAAGAAATTGTTCTACTTATTTTTTTTTATATAATTCAAAAAATTTATTAATTATTATGCTGTATCATCATTTTTTATTCATACTTTCTAAAATACCATTTTATTAAAATTGTTAGTTATCAAATTTAATTTTATATTACACATAATCAATAGTAATTTAAGCAAAATATCTATCTAAAATTAGGGTAGTAAATAAAAGAAATCATCAATTTAATTAACAATCGGATGTAAAATATTTATAGAAAAATAATATTCTTATGGAAATATTTTACCTTCAAAATTTTTGCAGTAAAGTTCTTATAAAAATGAATATTTTTGTTAAAATATTTGTAAGAAAAAAGTATAAAGAATATAAAAAGTATTGATTTTTGTTACTAAAGAGTAGAAAATGGAACTAAATATTTTTTTTATCAATTAGGAATAAAAAGTATATTATTTAAAATTTCAATCATTTAATTATTTTGGAATATTTATAAACAGAAAGAGAGATAACTTTTTTAAATCATAGAGAAAAGCAAATAATTACTTACTACACATGTGTTTTACTAAAAACAATTTTCACCTTAGTTTTTTCTCTCCCCTTCTTTTTAGAAAAAAAGCCTTTCTCTTAAAAAAACAAAAAAAAAAAAAAAAAATTCCTTAGTATCACCAGGGGCAACCACTTCTTTTGTTTTCTTTTCTTTCCCCGTTTCTTTGTTTCATTTTTTTTTTTTTAAAATCAATCTACGTTAGTTTTAAATTCCTTCTTTTTTGTCATTTTTTTTTATAATAAAAGTCGGATCTATATTAGTTTTAGATTAGATTCTTGGTGTATTTGTAAATAGATCTAGATTAGTGTTTGTTGTTATAGAATTTTTTTAAATTTTTTTATTAATATTATTATTTTTTATTTGTGTCTCTCTCTTGGTGAGAGCTTGGTTCTCTCTTATTGATAGTTTCGTTTTCTGTTTATTGGTTTTTTTAGTGACTGTTTCGGCTATTGGAAAGATTTTGGTACCATATGTAGGATTTTGGATTTTTTTTTTTTAATCAGAGGTATGGTAATGCGGTTTATTTTTTGTTTTATTAATTCAAGATGGTTCCAACTTATCTAGACACGTGCAATGCTGTGTGTAGTCCAAATTTAAAATTTTCAAAAAGTTTAGTTTATAATGTGAAAATCAATAAAAGAAACAATTGCTACTTGAAAGGCTAATTTCCACCATTTTTTATGTGAAGATATTTTTCAAACGCTAAGATTTAATTTTGATTTTGTTATATTTTTATAATTGTAATGTGAAAAAAATAAAATATTATTACTCTTTTGCTATTAATAAAATATATTTTTATTAGGTTAATCACACAAAAATCCTTTTATTCTTTTGATTTTCTTAATGCAGTTCACGTTTTTTTTTTTTTACTACCTTTTTTTTTTTTTAATGTGGCATCTTTGACTGTTTTCTATCCAAATTTTTTTTATTAAAACTGATAGCTGGCATAAAGAAATTCACTTGACATTAAACATCACATTTTTTTTTCATGCAAAAAATAGAGTATATTTCATTCTCTTTCTCTCTATTAAACCAGCATTAAAACCCAATTCTACATAAATTGGCAGCATCAAAATATCGTTTTTTTTTTTCATTTGAACAAAGATCATGAATGGCATAATTGCAATACTTCTTGTTGGGGTCCAATTCACTATTTACAATATATGTTCTCACCTTTCTTTTAAGAGTTATATGGCCAATCTGATCTCCCAACCAAGTTTCAATCTGTCACATCTAGCTAGATGCATTGGTGGTTTCATAAATCAATTTAGAAATTAGCATACAACAATCTTTAGCAAACAATCTTTAGTCAACAAAGCGTAACTGCTTTCCGAACAACAAAAGTATCAATTATCATCAAGTAAGAACTTCAACCAATATGATGCTCGGTAAATTGGGAATCATTCTAAATCCTAATCATATATCAATTAGATATTAAGGATCACTAATTTGGCCTAAATTATCATAAACTCAAAATTAACAAAAAACCCAAAATTAGCTTGAACCCAAGCTCATATTCTAGAATTTATTAGTTCTAGATTTGTCTTTTTTCTTTTTACAAAATATCTCATCTCTAGATTTGTTTCAACTCTCACTTAACCTCATTAATGATGTAGATTAAATATCCGGCTAGAACTTGTTTCTAACTAGTATAAATGCACCTCTCATGCATTTGTTCAAGCAAAAACCTAAGAAACACATAATTAGTTATAATGAGATAGTTAAGAAACAAGAGAGAATTTCTCTTGTTTGAGTGGTGTGAGCTTATAATGTGTAGTGAGAGTATTGTGTACAAGTGTGATAGGAATAGAATACTAAAATAATTCAAAATATGCTATGCACTTGCCATGTTTAGTGGATCCTATACATAAAAAATAATCATACTATGTTCAAAGAGTTGCAAGTGATGTACAAGTATTTGTAATTAATAAAATAGTATTGTGTGATATTTTCTCTTTTCAAATATTATGTGCCTAAAAAATTCCAACAAATAGTATTAAAGCCGGATGACAAGGGATCTCCATGTTCGAGGCTATAATTGAAGATTGATATTCTACAAAAGCGATCAAGGACTTACTTTGCCAAGTGAATAGTCCGGGATTATAAAGACTATTTGTTTATGACTAATCTTTCTTGATCAGTCATAATCAACTACCAAGTCACTATAACAAATCTAGCTAACTCGGCTAGTTCAATGGAGAAGATTAACTAAAACAACTATTCTAATTAGGGCACTCATATTCAATTTTACTTGTTAAGGCAAGATCTTTGGAGTGTTGTTGATGGAATCAAAGTCACACCACTAATCGACCTAAAAAAGCTTGGAAAATACAAAGTTAAATATGACAAGGC